CTTAAAAGAATTACTTTACATCTAATAATTCTAGAAGCTGAAAAAAAAAAAATAGACTCGGCTTGATCTTTCAGAAATCAAAGCAAGCATTGAAGACCAATGAACCTTAACAAAGATCTATAAGATCTTTTTCTTTTTCTATGAAAAATATATTAAACAAATCATTGTCTTACTTAACAAACTATATTGTTGAATAGTTTTGAAAATAATTATCTTTTTTAAATATCAATGCATTTGTAAAAATAACATTTTCATTGCTACAGATATAAGTTGGAGCAAATACGAACGATTCAAAGTCTACAGTCTCACAAACAATACAAATCGCCATTCTCCTGGTATAACATAATGGCAGATATGTTGGCGAAGGTAATCGACGATGAAGAAAGGATCCGTGAACCGATTTCCATTCGTAGATCCTTGAGCAGCGACTGTATCAAGGATTCACAGAGGAAAAGAAGCTCGAGGTCAGAGGGAGAATTTCTAAAGACTCACCTGTGCAACAATGTTACCTGTGATCAGGTAACTTCGAGGAGGAGCAAATCGATGGACAAGCCATCTCATTGCGATGGGAAACGTAATTCAACGAAGAAAACAATAATGAAAGAAAAGAGTGAGAAAAGAGTAAGATACGTTCCTTGTCCATCCTACAGACCAAAGAAAGATTTAAAAGATTGCGAGGAAGATGAACTTTTGAGTTGTAGACCCACCAGAGATGTCGAGCCTGAGGAGATAGGTAAAGAATTTAAAAAATTCAAAAGCTAATATATATTGAGAAAAAAAAAACGCTATACAGTATGAATAATTTGATTTTTTATCATGTTCAGAAGAATATTGTCCGGCTGTTCCAAGCACCTCAGTGGATTCTAAATTTGATACCGGTCCGCCTTTAACAAGAGAAACTAGTGAAAATTGTAAACTGCTATTTTTGAAGTGTCCAGTGTGTGGCTGGGAAGATGCAAAAAACGAAAGGAGGAGTCATGTCCCTTGTTCTGAATACAATAAGAATCTTTCTGGTGAATATAGCGTGTGTGTTGGATGTGACAAAGTTGCACATGATGGTATGTAAACAATGACTATAAATTAATAAGAAAATGATTATAAATATTAATTTTTTTTAATCATGATATGGACATTTAGATCCTAAAAAAAGCTGTACGTCTATATGTGTGTACACACCAATTTGAAACTCATCTGTTTCTAGATCCACATTATCGATCAGTAGGGAATACTGATTTATCTGAATACTTGAAGAAGTACAGTTCTGGGAATTTCGAACTTTTAGAGTGGTTATCGAAACATCCATCAGCCGTATCTTTAATAAGGCTTCCTGCTACTCCACCAGTTTTGTCGCCCGTGGAATCTGTTAACACTACAGAGAAACATGCAGATGCAGAAGTACAACATAGCGAAGATCTGAAAAAAGATGATGTTCCAATAACTACGTCGATTGAAACGCGAGTTGTACAAGTCGAACCAGCGGTAACACATAAATTACAATTTGGTACCATAAAAGCTCAACTTGAGTTAATTGTATCGGAATCGACCGAACGTTCAAGACCAAATGAATTCGCAGAAAGTGTTACTCGAACTACAAGGTCAGTACAAAGCGCAGAACCACCCACAAGAGAAACGCGAACTTCTTTTGAGAGCAAAAGACATGAAATAGGCATCAACACAATGGATGCTTTTGACAAAGCATTGGACAATACAGTTTGCGTATCGGCTGGAACGAAAAAATGCGTTTCGATTCAAACTTTAGACGAGATCGAGCGAAACGAGGAAGAGAAGAAAGGAAATAAACATTGCAAGGACGATACGATGAAAGAAGTAGGAGTAAACGTGGTAGATCAAACTTCAAGAGGAATGCAGAGTACTATTTGTGTATCGCGTGGAAATTCAGCCTGCCGCGTGTCTTCAGAGAAAAAGTCAGAACTTGGCACTACGACGTCCGTGCATCGAGTACGCAGCGTTAGCTGTGTGACAGTGGAGAATGTTAAAGAATTCAGATCGAGTTTCGTACAGTGCGTCTCTAAAGAAAAATTTCAAGCTTCGACTCGATCTGAGTGCCATGAAAAAAGAAGTAAGCATTTCAATTTGTCTCTGTTTTGTAACTTAATATATAGTGCAATACTGTACAGAATGTTACAGAGTACGTGAAATAGATTTGTAAATAATTTCATCTTGTATGCAGCGGAATAATCCTATAAATTTTAATTAACAGCTCAAGAACTTGAGGATCCATGCACGACGGATACATGCCCTTGGAATATATTACATCTCAGTAGAAATCCTATTGTAGCTCCAGTTTTACAACAGCTTCTGCAAAATATATTGTCTATGCACGAGCAGAGAACGCAAGGTATAAAGTTAAAAAATAATTAATCGTAAACGTATATATTAATTTTCATGATTTAACTAATTTCAGAGTGTAAATATCGCCTGAAAGAAAATTGCTTGATCGACCTGAACAAAATGGTGACAGCAATTAAAGAATATATAAAGATGCTAGAATCAACTATTATCAGGGATGATTTGCCAGAATTTTCTGGTAAATTTGATAAGAAATCGTCTTTAGATGAAGTTCGAAGGGAGCCGAGTTTGAAAGAAACGTGTATCATTCGCAATGATAAATCTATCATGACTGAAGAGAACATCTTTGTGCCAGTATTGCAATCCGTATTCACGAGAAGTGATGAAAGACAGAAAACCATGGAGGACAATATGTTAATATTAGAAAAAACCAAGAGGGAACATTCGATGGTAGATAAAGAACTTTGTACTCATTTGAATTGTAAAGATGTTGGTGTTAGTGGATCGTTAGCACAGCTGTCTAGTCGTGACATGGAAGTTCAGGGTGACACTCGATCGTTCAAGGATTCCGTATGTGTCGCAAAGTGCGAATATACGGCAGAGAGAATAAGTGTCGGCACTCAGAAACGAGACCCTATACTAGTTCGAGTGATCAAATGCAATGAGAGCCAGCCGATAGTAAGATCGGATAAAGGAACATCAACTCTGAAGACGGGCATGAACTTTGCCAAAAGATATACAAGTAAACGTGTAGAAACATGTGGCCGATCAACTTGCATTCCGTCTACTGTTTGTCGAATGTCGAACGAGGCTAATTTGAAATCTGCTTTTCATAAGGAGCGCGAAAATGAAATGATCGATAACTATGACATATGCGACATAAATTGTAAAGGAAAGATGTCGTACGATTGGACTGACGTGACAAACGTCGATATATTTTCAACTATGACCAACTCAAAAATTCCAGTATGCATGAAGCCGCCACGAAAATATATACACATTCGCGAGAAGCAAATGATTAATTAATGTTGCATGATTGTAACTGAGAGTGACGTTTGAAATTTTTATTTGTCGAACCTTGTGATAAAGAAAAGAAACACGTGGATGTACATTTAGAAAATATATTATTCTAGCATTTTTTATTCTTTGAAACTATATTTTTGTCCTCTACATCAACATCCATTAGGGAAAATAATAGATCAACAAGAGGATATAGAAGAACAAACTTCATTTTTATTACATGAAAATGTATAACGTTCTGTCGGTTGGAATATTAATTTACTTGTTCAATTTTTATAGTAAATTATATTCACATATTGTTGAGTCCAAGGCAAACGCTTGATACACGTATCTATGGTATGCGGAATTGGAAAAAAGTCTCGCGGAACAGCAAAAGAATAAAGGGAATAATTCCTATAACCTCACATGATCTTATTTGTTATAGTGTGACTCTTTCGGCCAATAATTATCCTTAAGTATATTTAAGATCTCATTGAATCTATACGAAACAACCGACTAGACCATTTCTTTCACGGGACTTTTCTTCATTTCGGCACCAATTGTACCAATTGTCGGTATTTAATTATAATAAAATAGTATAAAAGAGCTTTACTTTTTCTCGTTGATATATTTACGTCATATGTATAGATTTCATTTGTTATCCGAAGTTTCATTATCAGAAGTCTTATTATTGTTTGGATACGCATTAAAATTATCTTAATGCTTAAATTCGATAACCTGAGTACATCTCGCGTTAAATATCGTAATTGATAATTACTCGTTTACGCAAATTACATGATTAGGATATTACGAGTCGAACGTTACTAACAATATATTTTAACACATACGTACTCAAGAATTACACTTCACTCTACAAAATGTACTTCTTTTTTTTCCCCCTTTAAATTCAATCGTTAAAACGTTATATGAAATTATATATATGTACATTATTGAAAAATCAACAACAGATACGTCTTCGATCATCGAGCAAGAATTTTATTGTTTCTAACGATTATCTCGGCAGAGATAATACTGTGTGTTGGTGCTCTTAACGATGGAAGTCATACTCTCAAACACGTGTCACTTTGTCCATAGTCACATCTTAATATGTGAGCATCGTCTGACTAGTTTGAATTGATTCCATTCATTAACCATCGAATGGCGGATGCTCCGCTGACTAGTATCGTGGGCCGGCGAATGCGGGGTTAGTTTAGACCCCGCATTCGCCGACGGAAGATTAATTCTCAGCATATCAATGCTAGTGTTAATGTTCGTATTAGAAGAATCTTACGTGTGCCTATATTGAAAAAGAAAAAAAGAAATAACGTTTTGAATGCATATCGTATCGTGCAAATTTGAAATTTAAGTTATGTAACAGCAAAATTATCTAACATTATATATACGTGAAATTTACAAACATTTAGTCCTTTTTCTTGGCATCTGCTTTCTCGTCTTTGGCTTGGCCTCGTCCCAGAAATTTGGCTAACGAATCCCAAATTCCTCCAAAGAACAACGCGCAGAATAAATTTTCGAACGGTACAAATGGATCATGAATTCCAAGTAAAATGGACGATAGCTGGAATAATATTAATAGCGATTGCATTTAAAAAGATAAACATAATAATAATTAGTTCCCATTTAAAAAAAAAAAAATTAAAAATTTTGCTCACCTTGAAATATATGAAGAAGATAACAATACCAAAGTAAACCAACGCGTGAGGTGCTGAGATGAGATCAGTCTTTTTGTCTAAGACGAAAATAATGGATGCTACCATTGATGCTTTCGTAGGGCTAGAAAAATAAAACATTGCACATTATTCATTCTGATTTTAATTTATAAAAGAATAAAATGAGGAAATAAACGTACAAGCTAGGTTGCATAAATTCCATAGCAGTTGGAGTCCATACTCCTCGTATAAGGCGTTCAAAAAGTTTTGTAAAACCTGCTCCATTGCCTGTAGTAAAACAAATCAAACGAATTAATTTTATATATCACATATCTTTACTTACATCCTTTTACCTTTGAGTGTTCCAATCAACACCATAATAAGATATGCATTTGGATAAAGTTTCCCTGCATGAGTTACTCCATCATATACCTTTTTACACCTATAAATTATTGTATCATAATTTGAATGTGATACATAGAAAAATTACTGACAGAAGGAAGGATAAAATAAGAAACAAACAACTGGTTATTATTATTGTGTATATACTCACCTATATATTTCCTTCATAGTAGCACATACTATCTTCACTGGTAAAAACTTAGCAATTTTATGTCCAATATCAAATGGTGTATAAAATATAACGTACCTACAGAACAAATCAATTAATAATAATACATTATTAAAAGCTAAATGAAAAGACGTTGATTCATTAAACTGAACCAAAAGAAGTAACTTTTATACAGCATATTTATAATTAATTATTGTATTTTCATACTAACCAAACAATGGTCGCTACTATCATTTGTGATGTATCTTTTAAAGGTGCAAGAATTGGCTCTCCTAAAAGACCATTGCATAGCATACCACTCGCAAACACTACCAGTATTGTTGAAAGCCAGCATGACAGAGGATGTTTTCGAGAAAACGCGTGAGCACCTATTTAATAAAATTACAGTAGTATAAAGTCGTAAAAAATTATGAAAGTCATAGTTGAAAACAGCTTAATAAAGTAACAGAACGATATTTTGTTTCAGGTTTTTACATGTTTATTAAATATCTAACATATGATGAAAAATTTAATTTACAAAGATACATTCAAGATACAATAGATTTCCTATTTTCTAACACACCATGAAATATCAAAGGGGTATGCTTTTTTAAGTAGGTCGCTTGGAATCCCTATAAGTACAGTATGTTACATGTGTTTGTGCAAACATAATGCCAGCTTACTATAAACATGAAAGTAATGTTTTCTATTATGTATTTCAGACTATGACATTACATAAAAACTTATTTAAGGAAATATAAAGGTAATTGAGATATACATTCAATAAAGAAAATTATATTTCATAGATAGTACATAATTTTGTGTATTATTTAAGTACCATAAGTTATCAAGAAATATGAAAGGCGTACAAATTCTTTCAATTATTCAAAGATTGTTATTTCATGGTCTATTGCATAAGAACGTCATTGAAACAACAGTTTCACAACTATATCTGGAAACATTTTTACACAGTAAGGTTTCATGTTTTAAAACACATACAATGATTTATTTTTCACAATCATTTATTTGTACAAAGTTATTCGTATAACTTTAAGAAGCATAAGAGGAGGTAGAAATTAGAGCAAAAGATTTGAGAAAAAAATTTGGCGTACCCACAAGGATGTATACTGAAATAGATTAGCTAGATACATTCAGCGAATGTCACAAAATAGGATTATTCTAATTGTGCCACATACCATGTGAGAATAATCTCCTCTCTCCCTCTCTCCCTCTCTGTCTTTAAACAATTATCGCGAGTTTCTTTCAAGCAACGTTGTTAAAAAAAGAAATTTAATTATAGTTCTTATCCTATTTCCACAATACTAACACAAAATATTAATATTATGTAATTAATAAAATATTAATATTGCAGTGAGAAAATTCGCAAGAAGACAACAGGGACGCTTAAAAATAAAAGAATCCATTGTTACAGGTGAAGGGGGAGCGTTCTTTCGGCTCGTGTAATATTAAACGAGATTAAAGGGAAGCCCCTTTTAATATTAACAATGAAACGGGAAAAATACAACGTGGAGGGAAGCGTGAAGGGAGAACACGTTAAAAAAGAATAGAGAAGTAAAAATGGTTGGAGGCGAAACATAATCTTAGAAAAGGTGTAAGCTGGCGCTGGGCAGATTAAATTTAGAATCGGGCAAGGCTTAGGCTTACCGGGTCCTAAATCTTCTCTGACGTGTAACGCGCAGAGTACGCAGTGCGCGATATCAAAATACGGGAACATTTTCAATTTAATGACCTGATTGGCCATGTCCAGGAACGCCTCGGGATCCATTTCCGATCGATTTTACACCCGTTCCCCGGCGAGAAAAACCGTTTTGCACACAGGGATCTTCCGTTCACGTATCACTACGGCGTTCGACGATCCCCGATTTTGAAACGGACTCACAAACGCCCGCGAACGACGCTAGCTACGCGCCGTCTGCTAGACTTGGTCGTCTGCTAGTTACGGAATCGGTCCCTACCATTGGAAATCTTATCGTCGAACAAGCAAATCTCTCCTCTTTGAAACTTCCCCCTATAGATGGCAGTAGACGACTGCATCTGTGCCTTTCTTTTTTTTCTTTCTTCTTTTTTTTTTTTTGATTGCGTTTGTCTTTTGAACGATGGAACCATCTCTCGTACTGTACTCTCATTGTCAGCGAAGTAAACTCATATTTAAATTGAACTTTGGACGTGGATCTTTACAACAGAAAAAGATTCTGGAAAATCTCATTAGAATAGTTTTTTTTTTTAAATGAACCAATGTGTCCAATTTAATCTTGCCATCGTCTTTATTATTTTTCATGTTTTTAGTCTTAGGAGAATTTTCGTATCTTTTTGGCTCATTTAATAGCATGCTAGATTCGAATTTCTGTTATGTTTATTAATACATTTAGATTGATACAGGATATATTTATATAGTAGAAGTATATATTTATATAGTATTATATTTATATATTAGAAAATATTGCTCAGATAATGGACTAGATGTAAATTATTCAAAATTAAACTTTTATATCCTACATGCATATGCACATGTGTGTTAAATGTGTGCGTGCGTATATTACGATATATGATATATATATATATAATATATGATATATGTACACACACACACATTTGATATAAGATATATGGTATATATATGTATATCTACTATGGTAGATATATGTATATCTTTTCTGGGTATGCATGTATCTCAGAACAAAAAACAACGAACGCTTTTAAAATCTGATTACATTAACCAATTTTATTAATCACCTTCTCTTGGTATTTACTTTGCACATAAAAATTCTGAGATATTAAAAAGAAATTCATATTAAGAATAAATTGAAAATTACGAGCTCACAAATCGAGAGTGATCGTGTAATTATGTAACATCTATGCGATTTTCTTTTGGCATAAATATGTAAAAGTCATCGCACGCGCGATGGGTTCTACCTGTAGAAATCATTTATTTCATTTCAATATCTCGTGCATGCACTTTGGAGCGTTTTTTTCCTCTGTTTTTTTTTTCTTTTTAGCTTTGTAGTCTCACTGCGACGAATACTCTATTTTCGCTAACTTTTCCGCAATGCTATATGTTCAGGTGTATATAGGTCCGGTACTCGTGTTAGCGGGTATCGAGTAACCTATCTAAGAAGCATCTACACGCAAATCTTTAATAAAAAGAAGAAAATGTGATATGGCTATCTAATCGCGGCACATGATTGCATGTTGCTGTAATAGTAATGTAATTCAAATGTGCTTTAACGCAGATCGCATTGACCGATAAATAATGATTCACGGTAGTCCAACAGCGAGATTACGAAAAAAAATGAATTTAAATTAACCGACAACGGTTAGTAACGATTTAATAAGAAACACAGACACAACGAAAGGTAGGCACTTGTTCTGATTTGAATATGCGTGTATTTAAAGTTTTGCATCTCAAGTAACAAACTGTCGTACAAATCGAAAGCGTGACAACGAGAAATCTCAGTAAGATTTAAGAATTTTTTCGTCTGTTTCATACGAGAAAGCCAAAAGATATCGGAAATTTCATTCGTACAAGGTGTACTCTGTTGACACATGTAAATATTTGATCAATGCATCGGACAAAGTCGAACACTGTACTCTCTTGTCTCTGATACAACTTCAATTCAAAGATTTCATTATTTTTCAAAGTGCCTTCCGCCCTTGCACGCAAACAATGGTAAGATCACCTCTGTTCACTCTGCTGGTGTAGTAATTATTTTCTTTTCTGCACTGACAATGGTATCTTTCAGAGAGACGGAATAAGATTGCGTCAACATGTTTCCAAAAGATCTGCCAGTGATGCGCTATACGATGATAAAGCTTCTTCAAAGAAGAAAGAAGTACTGCCAAATGAAACTCAACATTTACTTTTTTTGTTTACATTCTATCTGTTTGTATCTATTATCATCATTACATTTGAGAAGAAATTGCCCGAGCCGTTGATGGTAAATAAAGAAAGTCTACATCCGGGAAAATTTATAGCTGAAAGAGCGCATAATCATCTTCTGAATATCACGTCCATTGGGCCACGAATTGTTGGAAGTTATGAGAACGAGGTGTTGGCAATTAAATATTTAAGAAACATTATCAATAATATAGTTAAAGATGCCAATGAGAATCATAAGATTATGGTTAATGTAACCAAGCATAGTGGAGCTTTTCCTTTAAAATTTCTGGATGGAATGACAAATGTATATAGAAATGTACAAAATGTCATTGTTAAGATTGGTCCTCATAGACATACGCAAAGCAGTTTATTGATAAATTGTCATTTCGATACTTTTCCAGAAAGCCCTGGTAAAGATTCATTGAAAAACAGCTGTTTTTGAATGATTAATGATTAAGAGACTAAATATTAATACAACTTTTTCTTTTTCTTTAGGTGGTTCTGATGATGGAGCTAGTTGTGCTGTGATGTTAGAAATTTTACGTGTGATTTCTCATAGTCCAAAGTTGTTAAAACATAATATTATATTTTTGTTTAATGGTGCTGAAGAAAACTTATTACAGGTATGTTAATTCTGTCTAATTAATATCCAGTTAAGTCTACTTCATTTTTTGAAAGATAAATTCAGTTGCTTAAATTGCATAGGCATCCCATGGTTTTATAACGCAACATCCTTGGGCTAAGGAAGTACGAGCTTTCATAAATTTAGAGGCTTGTGGTGCAGGTGGTCGTGAATTATTATTTCAGGCTGGTCCTGATAGCTCTTGGATGCTTCAGGTATTATTGAATAATAAATTGTTCCATGTTTCTTATTATAAGTATTATAATGCATTGTCATCTTTTTTCTCAGATATATGCTAAATCTGTTCCTTATCCCTATGCATCATCTTTAGCCCAAGAAATATTTGAAAGTGGTATTGTACCTGGAGATACTGACTTTCGAATATTTAGAGACTTTGGAAATGTTTCTGGTATTTATTCTATGGCAACTATTTTAGTACTTTTGCTCCTATAAAGAATATTTATATTTTTTTTTAAAAACTGTAGGTCTTGATTTTGCTTGGGCAACCAATGGTTATGTATACCATACTAAATTTGATAATATTCACCAAATACCATTGGGGTCTCTACAAAGAACTGGAGATAACATACTTGCTTTATTAGAAGGGATAGTATTAGATAATTATTTATCCGAGGTGCCACTTCAAGATCATACGGGAAACCCTGTGTTTTTTGACTTTTTAGGCATATTTGTAGTTAGGTGGCCACAGTATGTGGCAAGTACAATTAATATTATTAGTATAATCGCTGGTATATATTCAATATATTTAAATATGCAAAATGCTCGACGAGGTATGTACGTTGTGTTAAATCAAAACTATCATCATGGAATAGAAAATGTTATAAAACATTTTTGATTTTCATTCAGACGTAAAGAAGTCAATATATTTAAAACATTTATTATTATGCACCGGAGCAATAATCGTTTCATGGATGGTATCTATACTTTCATGTACGTTGATTGCCCTTATTCTTACTAAACTTGGGAAAGTTATGAGTTGGTATGCGAGACCAGCATGGTTGTTTTTCCTATACGTAGTCCCAACTATCTTTATATCAATGACATTTTTCTTATTTGTTGGATCACGTCAAAAGAAGGTAAGTTTATAGTAACTTACACAATACACTTATAGTAACATACACAATGATCTATATCTTCTCTACAAATCTAATAATTTCTCTTTAATCGGTGTTTTATAGGAAGTTAAATCTGCATGGATTTTATACCAAATATATTGTGATTCGTATTCTATAATATGGATATCTGTTCTTTTCTATTGTGTTATATTTGAGATACGGTCTGGTTTTATACCATTACATTGGGTCGTATTCCCTACTGTTGGAAATATATTTCGATGTAACTTCTTTAATAAATGGAGAGGTATGGTCCTAATATAGTGGAATAATAATATGAATTAAATATGTTACTTCAATTGATTTTACTCGTAGGTTGGAAATGGCTGTTTTATTATTTAATAACGATGTGTCTACCTTACATCCAATCATTTTACTTAGTAATTGGCGCTCTTTATCTTTTTATTCCCATAATGGGACGATCTGGTAGCAGCATAAATTCAGAAGTTGTTATGGCTAATATGTTGTGCATTCTCTTTTCTTTATTACTTAGTTTCACGGTAAATTGTTTAAATTATTATCAAAGCGAAAGTTTTCGAAAAGACTGTGAGAATATGAAGATATTTAAGAATCAACATTTTGTTTTTAGTTACCATTTGTACTTTTAATAAAAAATGCGGAGAGAATCCTAAGCGTATTAGTGGGGATATTTTTGATAACTGTAGGGGTATTAATTTTGACTCCACTTGGCTTTCCTTATAGTGGTGATTTATCGTCGTTGGCACCGGAGAGATTTATGATTGCGGTATTTACTGAAATTTTTACAATTCTTTTATTTGGAAGGTAATTATGTAATATCAAATGAACATTCAATTTGCAGCACACACAAAGACAATATTACGATGTAAATGGTAATTTGCGGCACTCTGGGACAGGTTATTGGATAGCTGATTTAGACATGAATAGTCCACATAGTGTGGAAGCCATGGTACCTGAAATAGGTGCTGTAACATCAACAATAAAAGATTGTGAAAAAGAATTATATTGCGGTCTACCATATTTTATGCCTGTTACGACATTTTTATGGTACTTTCATAATATTGAATTTTTAAGCTTTTTTGAGACATTGGAAAGTTTAATCAAATATATATTTTATACAAAAATATTTTCCAGGAAAACAAGCTGGATTCCAGGTCCTGCACCGTTGATTACTATACCAACAAAACTTGAACTCATTTCAAAGTCTATAAAACAAAATAGTGTTAGTTTCACCTTCAATGTTACAGGTAACGCCTTTTTTTGTAATTGTGTAAACTATTAGTTGATAATTAAAAATTCAATTGGAATTTTATTTTTAGGTCCCGATCATATAAGTATAATTTTATCTCCATACAAAGGTGTTCGTTTAAGAAAATGGTCTATTTTGGAAGGAAAACCGTTAGAAGGACCTAAATGGAATGATAGAGAAACTTATTTCATCTATTATTCTTGTGCATCTGATTGTGTTCCGTTTACATTTTCTCTTGAATTGAATGTAAGTAAAATACGAAATTCTCACGAATAAGTTGATATCTAATCTATTAGTATTGTTTACAGTATGCATTTTTTATACAGGGAAATAGCACGCCGAAAACTCCATATTTATCAGTAGCACTGGGTGGTCACTTTTTACACGGTGAACATCAAACATCTTTAAGATTTAAACGATTCTTGGCACAATTTCCGTCGTGGACAGTCGTCACCCCGTGGACAGCTACGTATACCTCTTGGCAATTTTAATATTACGTAAAACTGCTTATTGTACCGAATCTACTTGAATGCATTTTCGTGCAAACGGTTAACGACAGCCTAATAGAAACGGTACTGTACTACGTTTAAAAGATACATAATACCTAACAATGCAAATTATAAGCTTAAGAATTAGAATAATCTCGTATTATACATGCTAATTCTTTGCAATTGCAATATAACAGAAATACATCGATTAAAATTTAGGGGAAGAAAATGTTGACGAATGAAACGTTTTTCATTCTATTTATATATAAATTTTTTACTAGCACATTATTAGATGAGATCGAAAGAAACTTTTGAGATAGGGCTAATTTAAGGTAGAATTGCGATGCGAGGATTAACGATTGGAAAAATTTTCGATTTCCTTAATTGTAGCTATCGTAGACTACCGTAATTTAGCATATCAAACGTATGCCTTAGAACCATAGCTTTATTTAATTTTTAAATGCCAGAGAAACAATAATCTTAATCTGTAAAAGCAGATAGTAGTCCGGAAGGTGTAGAAATATTGCAAAGCCATCGCCATGTGATGATTATCTTTTTATTGTTATTCTTACGGTTGAGAATATTGTTCATCGAAGCAACGTGACCATGTGCATTTTATGATCCTGTATGGGATAGTTTAGAAGCACAAACGCGCAATAGTCTGCTTTATTATACATCATCGTATTAAGGTATCTTTCGATTCAATTTAAAACGAAATTAATCTATAGCATTTCAATGTTCTCACCATCGAATTTTATAGTTAATTGCATACATTTACGTATTCATATTTGTAGCAAATTTTGTTGAGTTTTTTTTTTGTATTATTACGATTGTTTGTAATGAGAATCATATCAGATTTATTTGGCGGAAGGTTGGATATATATATTTATTAGAATTTAAGAATGTGACTTGTTAATGTTGATCCTTTTATCAACTTGATCTGTTGGTGTTTTTATCAAGTTGCGTTTTTGAAGGAAAAACAATTCTTTATTTCGTTAATTTCCAAGAGACTGAAGTTACTATATAATTGTTAATTTATGTAATGTTTTTATATCCTTAACAAATGTATGCAACAGTTATAATTCAAAATCAATTTACATAGGATATGAAGAAGAGAGTAAATAGTTCAAAAGATTAAAACGCATATTTAATTAAGAAATATTTACCGAATTACACACGTTCAAGTTTAATTATAAGAAAATAATGCCAATATTGATAGCCAATTTTGTAGTGAGAAGTAAGTTCAAAGTATTAATAGGAAATAATATGAGAAATATAATGATAGTACTTTTACACCAGTGTAAAAGAAAAACATTTAAATGCATGTACGCTCAGCTTGTTACAAAAGCATTAAAAAATTTAATTTTCTACAATTAACACTCGATGATCTTGAATTTGACTTCGATAGATAGACATTGTTGATTAAAAATTTGTTTAGTCAGCAAAAGATTGGAATGTTTCTAATCTTATTTTTTACGTTCTTTGTGATATTTCCTACAATCAGTTGAATATTTAAAACAGGTGGTGATATAGCGTGTAATTTTTGTTGCTTTAAACTGATAATTATGTAACTTCTATTGCACAAATTATTGTCAATGATTCTACTTAACTAATATCGCACAACGTTGAACACATCAAGATAATTTTGTTACGATATTATTTAGTACGTATTGTTACTTGTCAAGAATTGGTTTTATTTGGTTATAGTTAAGAGTAGCTGATATAAGGCGGCGAATATTATTGTTGTCCCTCAATCTTTTTGTTTGCTCTTTAAGAATTTATGTATTTAAATATCCTCGTATTCCTATATCTTTCCAATGTTCACAATATCATGTTACATACGCGTTATTATTGTTATTTAGCGTTTCTGGGTAAACGACTAAAGTTTAACACAAATGAACAATAAAAGTGTTGATAATTAAATCTTCACGTTTATTATCTTCTTCCCGTTGCAACCATGTATGTACGTATATAGGTGTTATCACAAACTTGTTACATTATAATGAATGTTTTTTTTGTCGTACTTATTGATTCATCATATAAAAGACGAATTGCCCATAGATATGTAGCCTAGTAAGAAAATTTACCACGATAACGGGAAATTTCTTGCAACTGTTAGGTTTAGGTTAGATACGTAATATGGAGTTAATTATCGTTACCACTGTCCATTGATTGATCGTATCAATTTCCTGTTTCCGCGGTCAACGATTACGCATACTGCCCAGATAAATTCCATTATCTGAATGGAATCACACACCTTTGGCAGGCATTTAATTTCAAAACACTCCTCAACGTCTCAAACTTTCCGCTGCTTGACATTTTTTAACTTTCGAATCTTCCAATACTCATGTTTTTAGTTTCCATTTTTTAAATCCTTAATTCCCAAATACTACGACTTTTCGGAATTTTAAGCGTTCAAATTAAATTTAAAAATTTTGAAATATTACGAATTCCTAATTTTCAAGTTTCAAATCTTTTCAAATCTTGGAATTCTTTTTCTTTTCCTTTAATTTGTAAATCTGTAATCTTTTTAAACTTTAATAATCAACATCCAAACATCTATCAGTGATCCATCCTTGCAGATCATCTTCATTCAATAAAAAGCCAACAATCCTGTTTCCAACATAATTCAATTTCTGATACTTCAGTTAATCCCACGGAACAAAATGATCTATTCCAACTGCAAGTTGGAATTTCAATACAGTAATGTTGAAGCAGTCGTATCACTTCCATCCTATTGTATCATCGTGTCATTATCAACCACGCGAATGACCTTGAACTCTTCCAAAGTCCTAGCGACAATTGAAATCCTCCTGAAAACTTCTTCAAAATCTCAATTCTTTTCTCTCCTTTTGCTCCTCCCACTCCCCCTCCTTTTCTCTTTCTTTCTCTCCTCGTCAGCCGGTGGTTTCGCAAGAAACGTGTCAATATTGACGCACCGGCATCCTGTAAGACGAGACCGATTTCCTGGTCGGGGCGACACTGATCTGCAAACGGATCGTGGTACTCGACTCGCGTAAAAAATCGACTCGATAATCGCGGCTCCAGGTTCGTTGATTCGTCGCAATTCCGTGTCACGGGCTACCTGTTACACTCGACTCGATAAACCACAAGGTCCGTGGAGGGGAACAAGAAAAGAAGAAAAAGGAAGAAAGAGTTATCAGTAATGGTTTCGCGATAAGCGAAAGGGGGGGGGGCGATACATTGTTCAGATAAAAGGTTTCCTCGATGCTCGGGAACCGGTCGAAACAATACTTTTTTTCACCCGTTCGTTTCGTCGTATTGCGCTCGCGAATCGCGGTTATCTTAATGGGAATTCTCAGTCACAATCAGTCAGCTCGGCTCGTTCCTCGATCGATCTCGCGTCGCGTAACGACCGATAACGATTTCACGCGAATCCAGCGAACGAAAGGATCTTCGGACGAAAAGTGGAACTCGCGTTACTCGAATTTTTTCTCGCGAGACGAGCAATCGTCACGTTGGAAAAATGGTGATCTTGAGATTGAGTTTTTGTAAAATCGGAGGTAAGGTTCGAGCTGCTTGGCTTTCTATTTTTCTTTCTTTTTTTTTTTTTATTAATTTCAACTTGGTTCAATATCGTCGAGTTTTTTACGGATTTTTATTTCCTCACGATTCGTGAATTTTAAAAAGCGCGCGAAAACGTACAAAATAACCTATATAAAATGTTCACTGTGACATTCACTGTATGAAACAAAATGTTACCTTTCATTTCTTCGATTACGTCTGTTTGAACAAAATATATAAATGTGCAGTCTCGGTCCATTGGTCCGTTTTGTTCAAAGGCGAAAATGTTCCGCACAAATTATGTAACGGGGGCTTTTAGAGTTCAGAGCGGTATTTGCGGTGGAAGATTGCATGCCCGATTATTTTGAGCGTGATATTAGTGGCCGAGACAATAATACAATCTTAATGAACTTACGGATGCCAGTGATAATTGTATCGAGGGCCTGCAAATTAAACTACTGTCGATTATGAGTCGCTTGTAAAACGGTTGTAGACGGAGAAGCTGCCAGGTGAAGCTTGTTATCGCGTTCCTCTCAACTGGGGTTAATTGTTATCGTTAATGATCGGTACCTATACACGATATAAATTATACTAAATTATACTAAATTATACTAAATATCGTACGTTCGTTCGTTGTACAGGGTGGGCCAAAAGTTTCTTCTCCTCAATTCTTTTCCCAATGAAATATCGAAATATAAAGGGAAACTTAATTCTATTAATTTTAAATTAAATTCAAGTTCAAACACATGATTCTTTCATTATGTTTTATTAATCTGTAAAGAGGAAAATTAAAAAAAAAAGTAGTACATAGTGGAAAATTTACGGATTTATTTTAGTAGATGATTTTTGGTCCACCCTGTATATCTGGGAGGAGGATTTGATCCTTTTCTCTTTAAATATATCAAATACATGGATACACCACGTACACTAATTGGGGAATTACTCTGAATGAAACAGCTATATTTGTGATGTGTGTAATAAAGATAAGTTCAAATTCAATTTTACTGTTTCCATTCTCGTTTTCAAATTAGGAAAAATTGTTTTTCCCCTTTGAGGGAATAAATAATAAAAATCTCATTTCGTAGTTTACAATTTTTTTTTTTTTTTTTTTAAGTGAAAGAGAAAATACAGATAAAGATTTCGAAGAACTAAAGATATTTCGAAAACATTTAAAAATGTTTCTGCGACTTGCAGAGTGAAAAATGAGCGAAGAAATTCCGTACCATAATTTCGTGGCTAAATTAGATTGTTGACGTTGCGATTTTTCAAGCAGAAAGTCAGATTGAACTATGCCTGCTTGTTCTTCAATTAGCAACCAGGTTTTGTTTTTTCTTTAGTTTTAGAGCAACACGACAGGCTATCTCATTTGCACGGCCTACTTCCTTCGAAATTCCTCCTTTCGTTGTGCCTTTCGCTCTTTTCTTCACTTGCGAGGGTGATTCGCCAGACTTCGCCGATCGGAAGCTCGAATTCTAGCGACTCTTCCATAATTCTTCATATTTTCTAGCGTTTCCATTATCCTAACTCTTCAATATCCATAAACCAACAGCTGCCGTATTTCATTTATTCTGTAACAATAATAAAATTTCATGTACAACATATTTTATAATATTTCATGTACAACATATTTTATAATATTTCATGTACAACATATTTTACAAATTCTACAAGTATATTGGTAGTTTATCAAATTATATAAACAAGTATTTCAAAGTATTTATCAAATTATACAAGCATGTATTTCAACAAGTTATTATTCACCAACTGAACCATAAATGCATTTATTTGCAACAGAACTGACATTCAGTTTTGATATAATCAAGTCTTCCCTAGAAGATCATTATTAAAATACAATAAACAAGTAATATAAACACATATATCAAAGTATTTATCAAATTATACAAGCAAGTTGTATTTCAACAAGTTATTCACCAATTGAACCATAAATGCATTTATTTGCAACAGAATTGATATTCAGTTTTGATATAATCAAGTCTTCCCTAGAAGATCATTATTAAAGTACAATAAACAAGTACATATAAACACATATATCAAAGTATTTATCAAATTATACAAGCAAGTTGTATTTCAACAAGTTATTCACCAATTGAAACATAAATGCATTTATTTGCAACAGAACTGATATTCAGTTTTGATGTAATCAAGTCTTCCCTAGAAGATCATTAAAAAAAAAAATCACTAAATCTTATTAGTAAAAACGAGATAATAAACAAGAAACATAAATTTCTCACGTTAATAAATAAAAAATTAAAAAAAATTGAAATGAGATTAAGCCATATTGTTTTACATCGAGGCAAAGCAGCAAAGAAGATGCTCGAGAATTTCAAGTACAGAGCAATTATTTTGTTCGTTCACACTGTAGCTGTCACGCGTATGTACGTGTACTTCCGGTGGTCGATTTTTCTACGAAGACAAAATTAGGCATCCGAATTATCTAGAACCGGATGGAAGTATAGAAGCCGCAGGTCCACACGCGTACGTGCGTTCCTTTCGTTCGTTCGTGCAAGTACAGGACGGTTCTATGGTCTTATATATGCATCCTTGTGTACGTGATTTGCTTACTGATTAATTATTCTCCTCTGGGTTCTTTTCTCCCTTCTCTACGTTGCCGGCTTCGTCACGTGAGAGTCGTGACAAAGGAAGAACAGAAGGAAAATCACGAATGGGCCACCAAACTCTTCCTCTTCTTACTCCTCTTCTGTGTCGTTTGTCTTAGAAACACTTATCTTTGTGTTTGTCGTTTATGTCTTTTTTGTCTTAGAATTCGTCAATATTGTCAATCCATCAATATTACAATCTGTTATAATTTTTGCGATCACTGGATCATTTAATATCCAAGATTTTTGTTTTTTTCTCCTATAATTTTACTTTCTCAATTCTGTTCTCTTAGAATAAATATTTACATTCACTAGACTTTTATATGTTTATAGTAGAAGACTCAAAGATAGTAAACTCTCTGTTACTACTTTGAGTCTTTTAGGGATACCTAATCTCTCGAATGCAACAAATTTGTTTACAACAAAGATCTCGTTTTCTATAAATCTCCTATCTTGTACATTTAATCTATTCGTTTCACACGTTAATTTCCTCGGTGGGTTTTGAATTGCGACTCGGCTCGCGAGCACTGAGATTCGTCCATGTTCCATCCAACTGTAATACTTTGTCACACGTTCACCTGTGCACAGGTAAGTGTAGGTACGTACACACAGCGCAAAGTATGATGTCACCGATAAAAGCTTGGTATTTGGTACAGGGGAACGCGTGATCCGCATGAAAAGCTTGATACACGAAGCGGTGGCTCTTCGTCGAACGATTTGGTCAGTCGGTTCTTCCAGCCATATCCGGTCACCATGCTGGCGGCGCACACGCGCGTAGCATCGCAGCCGCGCGATACTAAGAACCGGAAGTCACGGAGAACCAAGGGATCCTCCGCTCGTGATCGAGCCCAGTGAAATGCTTTACTATATAGTTGTCCCGACGGATTCATCCTCTTCTTAGCGAGTACGCCCGGTTTTTTCGACGCACTTCCGGCTGGTCGGAAGAAGTGTGGAGGTCGTTGCTCCGTCCCAGCGAATCTCTGCAAATTCGCCAGGTTGACTGTAATCTTCTGATACGTATATTTTGTTGGTGGAAGATACATCGTCGCGTGGAATGTCCGATGTGGCACAGGTTGAACTTTCCATTCCGTGGCTCGACGTGACAGACTTTGACAAGTCGAAAGATCGTAGTGATTGGATTGCTTATTGATAAAGTTTGAAAAGATCCAGAAAGAAGAAGAAACTGAAAGATGCGAGAATGGATAAGATGTGCAGAGTGTAGTTACAATATTTAGTAAGTGAAACAAAACTCTTTCTTTAATTATACGGTTATACTAGTTAATGAATAATGGTATGTGTAATTGTATGAAAATAGTTTTGTAGAATAGACTCCAATTGGATCTTAAATTTTTTAATATATTAAATTATATATAAATATAATGTGTGTCGCTGTTACTTGCAGATGGATGTATTAAATTTTACAGATACGTTGCGTTTGCTTATAAACATGTTAAAAAATTCTCTTCGTGTTGCAGAATGTCAGGCAGCTGAGAAAGCAATTATTTCATGATTTAAAATTTCTTCTTCATCTAGGAAGAAACAGTTTTACATTTTGCATCTCAACGTAGTAAATCTTTCCATGCTGTACTTGGACAACTATTCAATTGTATTGTAATTGACATAATATTCATTGTTAATGTCTGTATCTTCTTTCAGGCCTCTGGAATTCATCAAAGGAAAGGAAAGTGAGAGAAAAGGATATATCAGAAAGATCAATGACCACCAATGAATCCAACTGATCTGAACTTCTGAATTGAAAACGTCTGAAATCCCATGGCAGATATCCATCACCTTGGTGATGACGAATCTTCTTATTCAAGCCACGTCTCCAAATCGGGACAACCGATGACGACTCAACCGGTGCAACAATTCGCAGCTTTGCTCCTACAAAAGATCTTCATTAACGCCTTGCTGACCGGAAGGTGGTAACTCGTTAATGCCGACAATGCGGGAAGAGAGCAGTAGACAGGAGAGGAGGAAGACACAAATCACACAATCGGTTCCCGACCAATGGACAACAAGAAGAACAGGGAAGCTTCACCCCCTCTCGACTTTGGTCGTTCGACGTCGTCTTCGAAGGTACAACGCCTACGCTATCAGTTATTTGGCGAGCTTCCAGTCTCGTGCAGGTGTCTCTTTCGAATCACGCGTCGATTTTACTGTACTTTCTACTACCGTTTGTCCTCTTCAAAGAGCTATCAACTCTCAAGATGGTTGTGGCGAACGTTGTCTTGTTTGGGAATTGTGTTTGTCATTTTGTTGAGGTAAGGCTGGTGAGTTCTACTTCTTTTTCTCTTTTTTTTTTCTGTTTGACTTGATTTTTGGCAATTCGGTTTAATTGAGAAATTTAAATTAATTAATTAAGGAATTTAATTAGGTGAATAATTAAAAGAAAAATATATATATAATACATACTTATACAATTTATAAAAATGTAGATGTCTACATCTTTTACATTTTTATCATTTACACTTTTTAATTGTGCTCATAAAGAATTTGTTTATATTTTTCTTCAATTTGTGTATCAACTCAGAGTCTTTTGTATTTTTTACATTTTTTCTTTTTTGGTTATTACACTTTTCATAATATTGTTTGATCTAATTTTTCATTGACGTTTATTTCAACCTTATATTATGACTGAAACAATAAAAGCAATTACAAAGGGGGAAAAACGATTACATTCGTATTAAATTCTTCAAGGTATTAAAGTGTTCTGTTTAAATATCATTGGCTCTAACAAGAATCTACGTTATCAACTGAGCGCCCCGAAGGCAAGATGTCGGCATAGCTGATGTTTTTTAAAATTCGGCTGTGTCACATCCAGCCAGCCGAACGTTCAGACACCAACACTTTTAACTACCGACACGATCGGGATATCTTCGTTTCTTCGTCTCTAATTTCAGTAACAAATCTTAAAAGACAATTGAAGAAACATTTGAAAAGTATCAATTAAAAAGATGCACGTACCATTGAGGATTCGAAGGAAAAAGCATATGTGTATATCTAAATAAATTTTGAAAAGCAAATATCAAGCAGAATAATGTAAAAGTCATTTTCACAAACACTGTAATGTATTCTCATCTTTAGTCTCACGTACACGTTAAAAAAAAAAATTGTAATTTAGTTTCTTTTTAAACTTTGAATATTTTACAAACTTGTTAACAAAGTATTTCCTTTCCCAGAAGTAAACGGATATCGAGAGCGAATTAAATTGACGATATAAATTTCGATAAATTTACAACGCAGTCACACGCGATCCACATACGATCCGTTTTTGACCAGACTCCTACCGGATGCGATGCCTTCTCCAATGGAAAACGTTGTAACGTGCTATGCACACTAATTAATACGTTAGAAGAACTATTCGTTCGACGCGTATTGAGCCTAAAGTGTACAGTAAGACTCTAAACGAAAGGATATTTAAAGAAAAAAGACAATACTATTCAAGGTTCGTTTTCGTAATCGCGACGAAGTTGTAAATTATTTTACGTTCACTGAGACAAAGATAATTATGCTATTGTTATTCTGTATGTGATTCTAACGATATGTAAATGATTTGTGAATTTCTAAGGCTCGTTAACAAATTTGGGATTACTTAATTAGCAATTGATAGTCATTGCTCTCTTGCTCAAGGAGAAATATTTTTAATTATTTTTAATTATGTAACAAAAATATCTAAATAGTGTAAAGTAAATAGAAAAATAATCTTTCATAATCATTGCGAGGATATGAGAAACGCTAAATTGGAAATTAAATTTTGAATCACATTGCTTGAAAAAAATGAACTTGTTTAACTTCATAAATTCGGTTGTGATTCATTCAAATTAATCGACAACTGTTAAAATTACGATAGATAATCATAAATAATTATAAATCAAATATTACATATAATGTACCTAAATTAACAGTGTTACGTAGATTACACGATGAAATTGAATATTCGAATATATTTAAATTGTATAAAGGACCAACATATGCAAAATAAGACTGATCTTACAGAATAAATTCAGTTGCAATTCAAACGTCCGTTAAATGTGTATTTCCATGTTTTTTTTTTTTCTTATTCACTTGTTCATCCGTCAGATGTCGGAGCGATGCGAAAAGAAAATGTGCTGCGTAAGAATGCGCGAGTACAGGTTATGTGAAAGACACGATAGGGAGGTGGATAGTTTGATTGCAACCGTACCGAAGCAATAATGCGCGAGAATCAAACGCAGTCTCAAGAGCGTTGCGTAACACGTAATCAAAGTGAATATTAGACAGTCGTCAACTACTACGCTTGGATCCCTTAATGACTGATAACTCGATTAGAGAGGTTATGTTATCGAGCTGGCCGTTAACACGATTTCGCATCTGTCTCTTATCTTCATGACCCGTGCTATGATTCTCCGATCACGATGAATAGTTCGAACAACAAGGAAACGATAAATCTGCTCGATCTGCTGTCCGACAGTGATTCCGATGTGTCGGACTTGGATCTTACGCCCAAAAAGAAAAAGGTCAAACGGTAAGGGCGCGTTTTTCAAATCTGTAACAGATCTGAACTCGAATTCTTATTAGATGGATTGCGTGAAAACTTTGACTTTTACCATGTTGCAGGAAACATCGACCAAGTAACATAGGGAAAATGAAACAGACTGATTCTTGCGGATGCAGCAAATCTGACATGAGGATCATATCATTATGGTTGGCAACAGTTTTCATTACGTTCTGGTTGATAGCGATGTCCTGGCTGGCTGTTGTCCTGTATGGAGAGATTGAAAAGATGGATACTGCTATAAAATCAGGTAAATGCATCGTCGTTTGTTTATCAGCTTGTTGTCAAACTGATGGCAATACTGACGATTGGATGTGACTGACAATAATCGTTGGAATTGCTTTATGCCGCTTTTATTCTGGAACTAATACCGGCCTGAATTTGAACAACCATATTGTTAAATAATATTGATAAACTTGATTCAGTATAATATTTAATAATATTGGTAAACTTGATTCAATATAAATTTGATTCAATCTATACTTTTATACGTACTCTGTCACGTTCATTTAGACTGCTTGATCGATAGTTACAAATTGATGCTTTATAAATCTATCAAGATAGATTAACTTGATCTTGGTTTGATCTAAATTTAATTTATAATTACGTCGGATTTTCGAGTTGGTAAATCTCTTTGGTGAAATCTTATTATTGAACTTGGTGATTGATTGTGCAATTAACCCAAAATAGGTATCCTTGAATCTTTGATATACGAATGCCTATTTTGGCTGTTTCTAATAACGTCGTAAATTTAGACAACAGGGTCCGACAAGTCCGACAATGAATTTTAAGACGTAAATAGTCATAAACAGAAAAATTTTCGGTTCATTCACTTTCGTCAAAGATCACTCTCCAATCGAAATATTAATGCAAACGTTTAAAAATATATCATTAAAAGTTGGCTTAATTTAATTCCCACCTGTTCCATCCAAAAATTTCACGTCCGTTTCTCATTTCCTTTTTCAAAATTTTCTCGAAAGAAGAGACAAATATTCCACGGGTGATTGAAGCTTTTCGATACATTTACGACGACGATCGAATCTCGTCGATCGCGTTATTATCGACGGTGCCAGCGCCTCTATTTTTACGAATTGCGCGCGTAACTTTCTCTCTCTCTCTTTCTCCCCCCCTCCTCTTTCAATCCAGTTTTACTTCCTTTTCGCTTCTGTATCAATCCAAAATTCCCTATCGCGGTGGATTGTTATCGTAGAGACCCCTAGCAGATAGACCGTGTACGGTCGCGTACCAACCCCCAAGTTCAGTCAATATCTTGCGTACGTCGCGAGCACTACGCGGCGAGACACAGCAGAGGTGTTGTCTACGCTCTTTGCCCTCGTACATATATATTCTCGTCGTACCTTTTCTTTTCTTCTTTTTCCCTAAAAAAAACATCATTCGACAAACAATGTTTATTGACGTACAATTCGCAACTGGCAGTTGGTCGTCGCGTTTATTGCAAGTTAAGTTACTAGTCGCGGCTCGGTGCGGTCTGTTGTTCTCGCAGTTTTTGTTGTGCCGTACGTAGCTGGCGAATCGATCAGACGATTGTTGTATAATTTATACCGGACGTAGGTCAAGTTTCACCGAGTGCTCGTAGTTTTTTTTTTTGGTGTTCGGAAGCGCTCGATGGTCGACAGGTGTGCACGGCTCTGTTCCTCCCCTATCGATTCCCAATCGTTTAGCGAGCACGTAGAAGTGTCTTTAATGGAGTGACGTGTTGAAAAAGTCGTGTGTCTATCTCGTAAGGATGGATATATGGGTAGGAGGGGGGGGGG